TATTAGAGATAGTACCATACAAACCACCCTTTGTACTATATGAAACATTTTTTTAGAATCTTTTGGGATGGATTCAATTCGACTAGGACGATAATAATTTCACTTCGTACTGTATGAACCACCATTTAAACTGTGTGATCCACGTATTAAAATCTATTAGGACTAATTCAATTCAGGTGGTATGATCTTAATTGCTCTTCGTATTATGCAAACACCTGTTTGAACTGTATGATGCATTTAGTCAAAATTTGCTCAAAAGACTCCATAATATAAACATAATTTCTTAAGATCATCCAGTATGATATTAATCATACTATATAATGTAACCACCTTTTCTTACAAGTCCAAACGATTTAACTCTCCTGGTCGTACTATATGATCTCGAATTATACTATACAATCTACTTAAACTCTATAAATTGAAGGGTGTATAAGCATTCAATATATTCAAATCTATCTTTCTTTATATTCCTACATTCATACCCTAGGATTATCCAATGGCCAGTGGAAGTAAAAGTGGCTGAATCACCCAAGGAAGCTCCTCCTCTCATCACTTTGACGATCAATTTCTATCCACCAAAGAAGAAGATGTGTACTATAAATTAAAAGAGGCTTGAATCACCACTCCAGAATACTTAATCAACTTGGTCTAAACTTTGAGGTGATGAACCTTTTTGCTTCTACAACTCGCCAATTCCTACTCACCCTAGCATTTTTCTTTAATTAGGAACTGCCCTTAAAATTACTAGTAAACCTTAGGATCAATGTGGAAATCTTCACCATAACCTCCTATGTTTGGAAACAACCCATTAAAATCAATAAAGAAGATTTAGGGGTGTATATCGGTCTTTCTATAAAAGGACGTCGTCTATAATATATGGTCTCTAGAACTAATTTTGACTAGTGTGATGTAAACCTAACCATTCAGAATGTGTCTTTAAATTAATATCAACCCTTAGTCCACTCTCTAAATAAAACCTAAATTATCCTGTATGTTCTTCGAACTTTACTTATACCCAAAGCTAGTGATCGAGTTAACATAACTCTACTTCTTTTCATAACCACCTATTTCATCATGTGTAATACTAAATTTTGTGAAGCTTATATGATTATTGACTACATCCAAAATATGACTCTAATTTGAAATCCCAAAACCAGAAGAAAGCAAAATGTCACACTTGGACAAGTCGTATGGTATATCTTAGACAAGAAATGCCAAATAACCTATCCTATTCCTTCTGATAACCTTCATAATTTCTATAAGGATACTTCCTTCTGTTTTCTTTCCATCAGAGGCAATAGCACATCGAGCAAAATTTTGATGAAGAATGGGAAGTTGCTCCTGCATGTGGACTTGCACCGTGATAAATGAAAGTTCGTTAGGGATGTTAAGCCCTATGAACTTAGTCCCAAGCTAACCAAGAGGGGGGGGGGAAACCAACAACCAGATGCTTACTCCTTACCTCTACCGACCCTTCCACGGATGAGAAACTCTAGACAAAGAAGAAGCAGAGTGATCCTTGAAGAAACTCTTGTGAATCCCCTCACAAGCTCCCCTCACAAGATCCTCTTTCTCCCTCTCTCTCTCTCTTTCTCTCCTCAAGGCCTTCTCAGGTCAAGGCAGTAGCCAAAGGTTTTTTAAAACGGTGAACAAGAGCTCTTAAATAGAAGAGCTTCAAAGAAGCTCATTAATTGCAAGTTGTCGATATTATCGTCCAGGCCGATATGGACATCGGCCTGGCCGATCCGTACAAATCTCAGAAGATCGGCCAGAGCATCGCTCTGAATGCAAACTGGATGATTTAAAATTGGCTTAATCGTCTAGGCCAATCTCACGATCGTCCTGGCCGATCAGTTCAAATCAGAAGAAAATCATCCAGAGCATCGCCCTGAATTCGAGCTGGCTGATATTTATCGTCCTGAAGTAACCAAGGTTTTTGAATAGATCGTCCAGGACGATATGATCATATCAATCATCCTTAATTACTCCCTTGATTTCCTGATCTATTAAGGCATAATTTGAGAATATCGTCCAGGCCGATCAATGATCGTCCTGGCCGATAATTTAAAAATACAGTATACCTTAATTGTCTATGGCGACAACTTCTTTCTGTTTTGAGCTTATCGTCCTGGCCGATACACGTATCGTCCAGGCCGATCTGTTAATGACGGCTGCCTTAATTAAGAATCCTTATTTAGACTTTCAATTTTAAGCCTGATCGTCCAAGACGATGTAAATATCGTCCTGGGTCCTGGCCGATATGAGTAAAAACAGAAATTATAAGTCTCTCAAGTGTGTGTGTGTAGGGTTAATTAGCATCAGTCTCTTTGACAATTACAAATATACAAAAGAAGAGAAAAAACAAAATACAAACTAACTCAACCCTAGACCTACGCAATCTTGAACTAGCTTCATCTGTTCGTCCGATCTTCGATTCCTGAAAAGTTAGAAGCAACATGTGCAGTCCAAGAGAATCAATAGGGTTTGTCAATCATCAAAACATAAGTCATGAAAATAGATTTGCAACAATCTCCCCCTTTTTGATGATGGCAAAATACTACGAAGACTATTAGCATAAAAAATTTCAGGATCTACAAGAGTAAGAACATCATAAACTTCTCCCCCTTTTGACATATCAAAAAGGAGGAGGAAACACATAAGAACAATAGCAAATCACAACAAATTTTTTTTTTTTTAACCAAGGCATGAAAATGATGTAGTATTCCATGTGATTAATTTAAAAACTTATGGGTTAACGAGTAACAATCTCAACCATCCATAGAATAGTAGAATATCCGGTCATGGTTACCCTTAGCTCAGACGTTTTCTTATGGTAGAATTATCTTTTGAAATCAATGACCTAACTCAAACAATTAATTGAATATGAGAAAAAGAATCCATCTATCACTTGGTTTAAGACAAAACTATCTTTATAAAATAATAAACCAAAGTAAATCTATCATGATCGCAAAGCAATCTAAATCAAGTCGTTGAGAACCAAAACTTCTAAGTTCTAAAAGATTTAAAAAGATAGAATAGCTTGCTTTTGAGTGGCCTCGTTTTATGCCTCTTGTCAATTTGAGTGGCGCTTTGCGCTTCTTTTTATATATTTTTCAATTTTGGCGTCTTTGCGCTTCTTTTGTTGGCATCATTGACCAAAATTTTTTAATTTTTGTAAGCTACATTCTTTTTTATGATCTCTTAAAAAAACTTAGTTGTGAATATATCTTCTCAGATATTAGAGAATAAGAGCTCTCTCTCTAACATAAGGAAGATTTACCACAAATAGAATTAATAATCAAAGACAATAGTAACGAGGGATCTTGATGTGACAAAGAAACTTTAA